AATTTTACCCATGTGTTGGCGCTTTTTTGGCTGCAGTGGTTTGAGACATAAAACTGAACTCATTCAACCCTTCAAGGTGCCATTTGCTGGTTCCCTTTTTGGCTTAGCTAGTTGGGCAAGATGGGGACTGCAGCCAAGAAATCAAAAGATGCTCCTGGGGAGGAAAGCGATGGCAAATCTAGACAGCAGACTAAAAAGCAGAGACATCACCCTGCTAATCAAAAGTGTGTATTGTCAAGGCGATAGTTTTCCCAGTTGCCAAGGATGGCTGTGAAGATTGGACCACAAGGAAGGCTGAGGCGCCAAAGAACGGAGGCCTTTGAACTCTGGTGCTGGAGAAGACTCCTGCGAGTCCCTTGGACTGCAAGGCCATCCAACCGGTCAGTCCTGGAGGAGATCAACCCTGGCTGCTCTTTAGAAGGCCAGATCCTGAAGAGGAAACTCAAANGTTGCCTGCTATTAATTTAAAGGGAGCAAAAGGTAACATTCATAATACAACACCTCTGGATCATACGACACCTGTCCGAAAACAGTTTTTCCTTGGATTTTAGCATTCTATAATTATCAGCTAAGCTTTTCAAAATGAAAACAGCAATTTAAAAAGCACAGCATAGAAGCAGTAAAAGACAGAAATGGCAGTCCTGAATGGTTAGGAAGCTATTTTGCCGTACAAAAATTAAGAGATTAACATGATTATGATTAATGCCATGAATAGAGAATGCAGCCATTTAAATTAAGAATTTTTTTTTAAATTCAAACAAGGGCTGCCTGCCTTGCCTTCTCCTGTTACCTTTGAACAGCTGCTGGCTGTATGTTACTATCTCCTTGTCAAAGCATTTGCAAAAAAAAAAACCCTTCTTTAAATACAAGCAAATAAACGATAACCCCTTCTTTCTTATCCCAATTCAGCAGTGGCTGTCACTCATGTCAGTTCCCTGATCTTTTCCATCTCTTCATCTTTGTTTAATTTTACAGGTAGTCCTTGACTTAAAACAGTTTTACTGTTTGAAATTACAATGGCACTGAAAAATGTGACTTGCCCATTTTTCACATTTATGACCATAGTGTTGTGGCCCAGCAGTGGCCAGAGGGGCTGGCAGCAGATTCGGACAGTGAGGAGGGTTGGGAAGAAACCTGGGCCAGTCCTGGAGTCTGGGGAAAGCTCTGATGAGGGCTCTGTGTCGGAGGCAGAGAGCTGGCCAGAGTTGTATGTCAGTTATCAGCTGCCTTCAGAGTCAGACATCAGTGAGGCAGAGGAACAGGGGGAGCCTGTTCCCAGTGTGCGCTTGCGCAGAGTTGCCAGACGATGGGAGCAGCTAAAGAACAGGGGCCGACCTGGGAGGAAGGCCACAGGTGGACGATGAATGGCCCCTCCTAGAGGAAATAAAAGAGGAGTGAAAATGGGGTAGAGTTTGCAGGAGACAATTAGTTCACTTAATTGGTTCGTGACTCTCCGAGACTCCTGGCAAAGTTCTGCAGATCTCGGCCTGGCAGCTCTCCAAGNCCCCACTCTGGGGGCAGCCAGAGGTGGTATTTGTCATGTCTACGAACTACTCAAAATTTCCACTACCAGTTCTCCAGAACCTGTCAGAACCTGCTGAATTTCACCCCTGGAGTAGAATCTCCTGCTTGAGCAGGGGGTTGGACTAGAAGACCTCCAATGTCCCTTCCAGCTCTATTCTGATTGATTGAAGGTTTCTTTTAGCAACCCTCTGTTGCCAACTTCTCTTGTAAATATTAATGTTTGGCTTCTTTGTAGCCCTTTCATGTGTTGAAAGCTCATTCTTTGTATTACGGATGAATCATTAGGAAGACAAAGAATTTCAATAAGAAAATGATACCCTCCTCCCCCTTTACCGTAGATCGGAGGAGAGGGGAGGGGAGCTGAGGACAGAGTGATTTACCCATCTTGTAAATTTCAACGCAAGGTAGTGGTTTGAACTGCGGATTGTCTTATTTACGGTTTAAGCTGTGAGCAATAAAATTAAGATCAAAGCAGTTTGGCTAGACAAGACTTTAGCTAGACGATCATCTGGTACAGTGAGATCTAGTATTACCTGGCACCTAATATGTGGAAGAACTCTAAGATAAAGGTAAAGGTTCCCCTTGCACATATGTGCTAGTCATTCCCAACTCTAGAAGGCGGTGCTCATCTCTGTTTCAAAGCCGAAGAGCCAGCGCTGTCCAAAGATGTCTCTCTGGTCATGTGGCCGGCATGACTAAATGCCGAAGGCGTACAGAGCGCTGTTCCCTTCCCACCAAAAGTGGTACCTATTTTTCTACTTGCATTTTTACCTGCTTTCGAACTGCTAGGTTGTCGGAAGCTGGGAGAAATCACGGGAGCTCACTCCGTTATCCAGTGCTAGGGATTCAAACCGCCAAACTGCCGACCTTTCTGATCGACAAGCTCAACATCTTAGCCACTGATTTCTTTGATAAGAAATAAGAGATTGCCCAGCCAGCTGAATCATCCTGCCTGTCCATGATCTCCCTTCCAACCCACTCATTGATGTTGCTCGATTTGCATTTTATCCAGCTGCCAGCAAATGATGCTTTCTGAGAAACTGGAAGGAACATGTAAACAGGGACATATGGTGCTGTGCCCTGTGAATGGGCAAGGCCATTTTTAATATTTGCTTTTGCATCCCCCTGCGTAGTAACCTGCCAACGAGCGAGCAATTTGGGCAGAGTGCGTGCTATTCAATCGCCAGAAGTACACAGGTAGCCTTCAACTTACGCCCACAATGGAACCCAAAATTCATGTTCTTAAGTGGGAAATTTGTGGTTTTGTCTCTTTTTACAACCTCTCTTGCCCCAGTTGTTAAGTCTGTTCCTGTAGTTGTTCAGTTAGCCGCCTAGTTGTTAAGTGAATCTGGCTTCCCCATTGACTTTGCTTGCCAAAAGGGGATCACACACGACACCGAGACACTTCAGACGTCGTAAATATGAGTCAATTGCCAAGTGGCTGAATTTAATAATGAGTTAATAAAACTCCAGTTCTGGTTTCAGGTGTGGTCATAAGTATTTTTGATCCCATTTGGATGTAAGATACCTGATCTTATTTGGGTTTCAAATCCTAATTTAAATTTGATTGCAACTGAATTTCCTTTCTTTCCTTCTTTTTTCCTCCTTGATTTTATGAAATTATGAGTTATGGGTTTTAATCATAATCAAGTTCTTTTGCAATAACAACAACACTGTCTCTAAGCATTTGTATTTTGTATTTGTATTTATTGAAAATTTATATGCCGCCCTTTTCCCTGAGGGGACTCAGGGCGGCTTACAACAGTGAAGGGAAGGGAGTGCAANCCATCCTTCCGAGGTGGGTAAAATGAGGACCCGGATTGTTGTTGGGGGCAATATGCTGACTCTGTAAACCGCTTAGAGAGGGCTGAAAGTCCTATTAAGCGGTATATAAGTCTAACTGCTATTGCTATTGCTAAAGAACACGGTGCTTGAGTGGAAACTGAACGGCTGAAGTATTCATCTCTGTTACTCCCTTGACACCTCCTTTTCTCCTGCCAGACGTGAATGTAGACCAACCTGATGAGAAGTCCATCATCACTTATGTCGCCACCTACTACCACTATTTCTCTAAGATGAAGGCCTTGGCAGTGGAAGGGAAGAGGATTGGAAAGGTACCACCAGGAGGGCTGAGCCATTGAATATGTCTGTGTGCCATATTGAGGGATGGGGTGGAAACAGGAAATCCAGGGCAAATGAGAGCCGTAACATAGACATCAGTTTGTGGGTTTGTGGTGGGTTAAGTGTTTTGGTGGGTTAAGCCACTAATTGTGGATCTTAAAAGCAAGTAATCCTCAACCTGCGACCACAACTGAGCCCGAAATTTTCTGTTGATTATGTGAGAAAGTTGTTAAGGCAGTTTTGCCCCATTTTACGACTTTTCTGGCCACAATAGTTATGTGACTCACTACAGTTGTTAAATTAGTAACATCCTTGTTAAGTGAATCTGGTTTCCCTGTTGACTTTGCTTGTTAGAAGGTCGCAAAAGAGGATCGCATGGCCCCCGGACACTGTTACCGTCATAAATATGACTCAATCGCCAAGAGTCTGAATTCTGATCATGTCATAGGTCACTTTTTTCAGTGCCATTAACTTTGAACAGTCACTAAGTAGACTGCTGTAAGTTGAGGACTATCTGTATAAAAGGAGTCTTTGACTTGCAACCTTTCACTTAGCAACCCAGGTTACGATGGTACTGAAAAAAGGGACTTATGACTGGTCCCCACACTTACAACCATTGCAGCATCCCCACAGTTGCATTACCAGAAGTCAAGTGTTTGGCAATCTGCACGGATTTATGAAGATTCCCAGGGTCACATGGTCACCGTTTGTGATCCTCCCAATGAGCAAAGTCAATGGGGGAAGCTGAATTTGCTTAATTGCGGCATGGCAAAAAAAGTTCATAAGATCAGGCGCGATTCTCTTTAACAACCCCCTTGCTTAGCCACAGGCATTCTACTCCCAATTGTACCTACCTTGGAATATACTGTATATCTGCATACAGTACTGTATACCATGCTGTAATTATCTATACAGGTAGTCCTCGACTTACAACAGCTCATTTAGTGACTGTTCAAAATTACAACAACTCTGAAAAAAGTGTCTCTGGACTGTTTTTCACACTTACAACTGTTGCCGATTCCTCAAGGCCACGTGATCAAAATCCAAACATTTGGCAGCTGGCTCACATTTATGACGGTTGCAGTGTCCTGGAATCACGTGATCCCCTTTTACGACCAGATTCACTTGACAGCCATATCCCTGATTTAACACCTGCAGTGATTCACCCAACAACTGCGGCAAGAAAGGGGACTCAGTGGTCGAGGACTAAATCGAGGGCTACCTGTACATCTTCTAAAGAAACTCTTCTTGAGATTTTCCCAAAGCAACTGGATAACTCAGGGTTTTTGGGGGGTTGTGGGGGGCAGGTGCTGGACTACGCCATTGAAGCTGACAAGCTGATAGAGAAGTACGAGACTCTGGCCTCCGATCTCCTACAGTGGATTGAACTGACCATCTTGACCCTGAATGACCGGAAGCTGGCTAACTGTCTGAGTGGCGTGCAGAACCAGCTGCAGGCTTTTAATACCTATCGCACGGTGGAGAAACCAGCCAAGTAAGTTTCCGCAGGTTTGCTGGATGTGCTCTTGCTCCTTATGGGGGGCCGTCCTAGAAATATGGTGATTTTCCTAAGATCCATACTAGGGTCTCATGCCGGGAGATGGAGGGGCCTCCTTCTGGTTGAGCAGCTGGCTGTGTTTAAAAATGTGCATGTTTGCGCCTCTGCTGCTTTTTTACTTAACAGCTATTCCGGGTTCTCTCCTCTCCCCCCCCCCTGGTTTATTTCACACTTAGATTCACAGAGAAGGGGAATCTCGAAGTTCTGCTCTTCACCATCCAGAGTAAAATGAGAGCCAACAATCAGAAAGTTTACACCCCACGGGAAGGCAGGCTGATTTCTGACATCAACAAGGTGAGACAGTCCATTTGCAAAGGAGCGTACGCTGTCAACGGCCTTCGGGTGTGTGTGGGAGGGCTGTATTTTTCACTCAACCAATCAGATTATGGCTGCGCTTGCACTTTGCGCTGTCGAGCATGATGTGGTTTGTTTGGTTACGTTAGCTGGACCCAGGACTGGAAGGCTGTAAACCATCCTTTATGACTTCATAAAAATTGCGAGCCTCTTCTCAGTTTTCCCGCCTGCCTTTTTATTGCCTCTTCTAAACAGAAAAAGGGCAGCCTGTAAAAAAATAAATCACAATATATTCCTGATGTATTCCTTTGTGTATTTTCAGAAACTGCCACCTTGATTTTTTATTTGAAAGAGAACAGCAACCCATTAAAGCAGATAAACAAAGCAAATATTACTAATAGGGGAAAGTTCCAAGAATACCTTAAAAATCAAGAGCCAATGCTTCTGGATTCCAGTGGAAGTTAATCATAATTAATGATTAATAGACTAATCCACTCATTTTGAAATCTGGGTTATAGTTAAGGCCAAGGCAGGAGGCTTGTCATTTTAACTTGGTTTTGGAAAAACAGGGTTTTCTAAGCCCATCAAATGTTTCTCGCCCCCTGAGATGCTATTACGATATGCACATGAAATCCTGGAGCTTTGAAAGCTTCCCTTCTCTTCACCCATTCAGGTTTCCAATAAATACATTNTAATGAGAAGGAAGAAGGACTCCCTGGAGAAGAGCCTCATGCTGGGAACGATGGAGGGCAAAAGAAGAAAGGAACGGCAGAGAAGGACGTGGCTGGATGGAGTCACCGAGGCAGTCTGCCTGAGCTTCAATGGACTCCAGAAGATGGTAGAGGACAGGAAGGCCTGGAGGAACATTGTCCATGGGGACAATGGGGTTGCGATGGGTCGGACACGACTTTGCAAGTAACAACAACATGTTGGGCGAACCCAGTCTTGCATGGCTTACTCCTTAAATGAAATATGGCTTCTTTTCACATGCAAACCACGTTTGATGCACAGAGGAAATCTCTGTGATTAGATTAGAATTTAATCTCATTTCCTGCTTTTGGGGGAAGGAGAAATCGAACCCGAAGCTGAAGTGGAATAACCCTCCGAGTCTTCCATGGTATCATCTCTATTGGATCAGGTTAGGAAGTCCAAAGCTGATAGTTAAGGAGAAGATAAGGACTGGTTACTCTCTTTCCTATTGATCTCCCAGGGGAGGAAAGTCATCATTTCCTTCCCTTGACAGTTTCATGTCGCAAGCTCATTTGTGGAATGTGGTGCGATTCCTCTCGTCCGAGCCCACGCCTCTCTTCCCAACTCCCCATACCTGCTTGGGGACTGCCAACTTTCCATCCACCTCCTGCTCCATTCCATTCCTCTGCGGTTTGCAAGCAGGGAAAAGGAATTCTTGGGCTGGGAGGGGTTGTCTGATTCCACCCCTCCCTCTGGGCTTTGTTTTGTTTGTTTGTTTGTTTTTTAAAAAACAACCCTCAATGGCAAGCAGACTGAATTCTTCCAACAGCTCTGTCTGGACTACAGATGGGAAGGCGGTTTGGCTGCTGGTTAAACCGGCTTCCCGCCTTGTGCAACCCAGTTGGCAGGACTGGATTGCAAAGCTGCGTTGGAAGTAGGGGATGGGTCAAACCAGAGGACCAGCAGACTCGGGCACTTCCTTAACCTGAGTGTGAAGGAGAAAGAAAAATCTCAAGGAACAAGCAAAATACCAATGCTTCTATTTCTATTTGGAAACCGCTTCTGGACTTTGTGCTTGGGGTGGAAAAAAATGAAACTGTAGAGTCTCCGAAGTGGGGCATGGGAGAAGTCACAGCTGGGTATTGTCATGGCCCATCTGCCCGGAGACTGAGATAAATCTTGAGACCAAAATACTTCTATTTCTATTTGGAAACCGCTTCTGGACTTCGTGCTTGGGGTGGAAAAAAATGAAACTGTAGAGTCTCCGAAGTGGGGCATGGGAGAAGTCACAGCTGGGTATTGTCACGGCCCATCTGCCCGGAGACCGAGATAAATCTTGAGACCAAAACACTTCTATTTCTATTTGGAAACCGCTTCTGGACTTCGTGCTTGAGGTGGAAAAAAATTGAAACCGTAGATTTGTTGTTATAGAAATGGCTAGTTAATACAATTATGCAAAAGTAAAAAAGTTGAGGTTTGATGTTAATGCCTTATTCTACTGCACTAGAGGGAATCAATGCCTTCCTCCCCGCTTTTCTTTCCCTCACTTTCCCTTTCCATTTTCCCTTCCCTATTTCCCCTACTTACTTTTGTATTTTCTTTCTATGCTATATTACAAACTAATAAATAAATAATAAAGAAATAAACAAGCATCTGTGGTGGTCTCATTGTAGATAAAATCAGGGGGCTTGCTAAACCATAGAGTCCTAAGGCCGGAAGGGATCTTGGAGGTCTTCTAGTCCAGCCCTCCATTCCCCCTCCCCCCCAAGGCAGGAGTCTTTATTACATTCCAGACAAATGGCTGTCCAATTTGTTCTTGAAGACCTCCATAGTCCTCCTCTCTACAGGTAATCCCAGACTTAGGATCACAGTTAAGACCGAAATTTCCGTTAGTAAGTGAGACAGTTGTTAAGTGAGTTTTGCCCCCTTTTAAAACCTTTCTTGCCATACTTGTTTAGTGAATCACTGCAATTGTTAAGCTAGAAGCCTAGTTAAGTGAACCTGGCTTCCCCGTTGACTTTGCTTGTCAGAAGGTCGCAAAAGGTGGCCTTGGGACACAGCAACGGTCATAAATATGAGTCAGTGGCCGTCTAAATTTTGATCACATGACCTGCAAAAGTTGTAAGTGTGCAAAATGGTTATAAATCACTTTTTTTCCAGTGCCGTTGTAACTTCTGATGGTCACTAAACAAACTTGTAAAATGAGGACTATCTGTACAGATAATCCTTGGCTTGCAACAGTTCATTTAGTGACTGTTTAGTGAAGTTACAACAGCACTGGGGAAAAAAGTGACTTAGGACCATTTTTCACAGTTATGACCGTTCCAGCACCCCTACGATCGTGTGAACTGATCCAGACGCTTGTGAACTGATTCGTATTTATGACCCACATCATCCCCTTTGGCGACCTTTTGACAAGCCAAATCAGTGGAGAAGCCAGGTTCCCTTAGCAACCAAGTGACTAACTCATCCACTGCAGCGATTCTCTTAACAACCGAGGTCGTAAAATGGGGCACAAAGCTCACTTAAGAAACGTCTCACTTACCAAGAGAAATGTTGTGGCCGTAAGCCGAGGGCTTTAACAGCAGGAAACGGATGAATAGAGACTAAATGTCTAGGAAAGCCGCCTTTGAGAATTAAACCGATCCAGGCTTCTTGCTTTGCTTGCACAACTCGCCAACCCTTCCTTGACCCAGTTAAGCGTGTCCCGTGCGGAGGCCCTGTTTCTTCATCAATATGCAAAATGCAGCCTCACGCCTCTTTTGTGAATGAATGGCTGTCGCCCCAGGTTCTCGGCTGTGTTTACTGATTTATAATTTTATGATATGCCACTCCACTTGGAACCTGCGCTGGGCAGCTTCCATCTCTGACTTTTCAGCAGTATATATTACGGCAATAAGCATAATGAATTAGGTGCTGGTTGTGTCAGGAGTCAGGTAATAAGAGAATGAGAGTTGGAAGGGACCTTGGAGGTCTTCCAGTCCAACCCCCTGCTTAAGAAGGGGACCTTGTACCATTTCAGACCAATGGTTGTCGAATCTCTTCTTAGAAACCTCCATTGATGGAGCACCCACAACTCCTGGAAGGAAGTCCTTCCACCTATTAACAGTTCTCACTGTAGGGAAATTTCCTCTTAATTCAAAGTTGCTTCTCTCCTTGCTTAGTTTCCATCCATTGTTTCTTGTTCTGCCTTCAGGTGTTCTGGAGAATCCAAAGCTCTCTTCTTTGTGGCAGCCCCTCAGTTATTGTATCATCTCACCGCAACCTTTATAAGAGGATGCTTCATGCAAGTTGTGTGCCACCCTAAGTTTTTCAGGGGCTACAAGATCCTCCCCCCCCCCCAATTCAATCCTATCCGATGCTCAGAAACTGCCTGGAGAAGTCCCTGCAGTTTTCTTGGCAAGGTTTTTCAGAGGTGGCTTACCATTGCTTTCTTCCTAGGTCACCCAGCTCACTTCATGCCTAAGGCAGGACTAGAATTCACCCCCTCTTGATTTCTAGCCTTGTCCCTTAAACCATGACAGCAAACCACTATGGCTCCCTGGCTGATTCATTTCCTGGATTCACACAGTATATTGAGTCATAAAGTGATCGAACGGTTTAGATTTGCCAGGGTAATAATAGCTCAGATTAGTGTCTTCTAAAGGTTAGATTGCAGCATTGCAGGCTAACTCTGTCCGCTGTCAGGAGTTCGATCCTGACCAGCTCAAGGTTGACTCAGCCTTCCATCCTTCCGAGGTCGGTAAAATGAGGACCCAGATTGTTGGGGGGAAGAGGCTGACTCCGTAAACCGCTTAGAGAGGGCTGTAAAATACTATGAAGCAGTATATAAATCTAAGTGCTATTTCTTTCCTTCCTTCCTTCCTTCCTTCCTTCCTTCCTTCCTTCCTTCCTTCCTTCCTTCCTTCCTTCCTTCCTTCCTTCCTTCCTTCCTTCCTTCCTTCCTTCCCTCCCTCCCTCCCTCCCTCCCTCCTGGTGGTTAGAATGCAGTATTGCAGGCTAACTCTGTCCACTGTCAGGCGTTTAATCCTGACCAGCTCAAGGTTGACTCAGCCTTCTGTCCTTCTGAGGTCGGTAAAATTAGGACCCAGATTGTTGGGGGCAAGAGGCTGGCTCTGTAAACTGCTTAGAGAGGGCTGTAAAACACTATGAAGCAGTATATAAGTGCTAAATGCTGATTAGCCTTTTTTATGCATATTGTGGGAATGCATTAGCCTTCCTTTGCTGGAACAGACTGGCATGGTTTATATACGTATCTTTAAGGCAGTTTTCTCAACCTTATCCACTTTTAAGATATATGGACTTCCAGAATTGCCTAGCCAGCCATCTTGATGAGGGAATTCTGGCAATTGAAGTCCACCCATCTTAAAGCCTGTTGACTGGGGGATTCTGGGAGTTGAAGTCCACCCATCTTAAAGTGGCTGAGGTTGAGAAACACTTCACTTGAATAGCCCTTTCCATGAGTATAAGCAAGATAAGAGCAATACTTCTGCTTATGCTCAGAAGAAATTATATCCTGCTTTTCTTTCTCCTCAGCCTAAGCCAACCAAGGGCCGAATGCGGATCCACTGTCTGGAGAATGTAGACAAAGCCCTCCAGTTTTTAAAGGAGCAACGGGTCCATCTGGAAAACATGGGCTCCCACGATATTGTGGACGGCAACCACCGACTCACGCTGGGCCTCATCTGGACAATCATCCTCCGCTTCCAGGTATGTTCCGGAATGTTCCTCCCGCATTCAGGCTTTCGCCTCCGAGGGCTGCAGCGCAGCTGAGGACATTCTGCAGCCAGAATAGAAGCCAAAAGATTGAAAGGGAGGTCCCTGCTCTGCTTTCATTTCAAAATCAAGTTCCTAGTTGTCATGACGGAAGAACAATTAAAATGATCAGGGTGTGTTGAGCCTGTGGGATAAATGATTAAGGGGAAGTCGTTTTGAAATACCTGAAGGATTGTCGCGCACCCGAGGGAGTGGATTTATTTTCTGTTTTTCCAGAGGGCGGGAACAAAACCAGTGTGTTAAAACTACAAGGAAGACGTTTCTAACTACAAGGAGGAAGTATCCGTTGTCAGCTTATGGGTGACTTGCCACCTAGAAAGTAGTTGGACTAGATGACCTCTAAGGTCCCTTCCAAATCAACAGAAGGATCTTTTTAGGAGCCAAGGTGGCGCAGTGGTTAAATGCAGCACTGCAGGCTACTGCTAGATCAGCAGTTCAGCGGTTCAAATCTCACCGGCTCAGGGTTGGCTCAGCCTTCCATCCTTCCGAGGTGGGTAAAATGAGGACCCAGATTGTTGGGTATCGGCTCGGGCACTTTCCACGGCCTGCAGTAGTGTAATTCGGTGATTTCGGAACATGCGGCTCCGCAGGTTGACATCGCGGACCCCGCACACAAACTGTTCCACCAAATTTTCCTCAAGGTTGGAGAACTCGCACTGGGCCGCCACCATCCGCAGGGCCTCCAAAAATTGGCTGATTGATTCATTCTGTTTTTGGACTCTTCTGCGGAAGGCAAAACGGCGAGCTATGACTGACGGGGTGGGTGCATAGTGATTCTTCAATCTGGCCATGAGTTCGTCCCACCCCAGCTTGTATGCGGGCCGTGGGGCTGCCAAAGCTCTTGCTGAGGCGAACATAGATGGCTCGCAGCATGAGAGGAAAAAGCTGCATTTTTCCTCTTCGGTTTGAGCCTGATTTTTGGAAGCGATCAGGTAACATTCAAACCTCTCCATAAACCCCTCCCATGATTCTCCGGCCGAACCAAAAGGGGCAAACG